AGTTAACCACGCAGTTACTTAACTATCCAACAAACGACGTTTTGTGCAACGCAGTTAAAGTGCTTATATTACGAATTTTAGCCCCCCCTTTTATCAGCTTAATTGAAAATTTGGATTATTTGAAGAACTATGACATGTCGCTGGACTTAAACAGATAAATATAAGTTCCTTAATTTTGCCTCAAAAGTCGGGTACTATTTGCGAATTTTTTACGCCGCCATATTGATACTTGTGACGTAGATAGTTGAACACGTCTGTTTCCGTCAATATAATATTATATTATAGGAGGTGATTTTGTTGTCGTTTTTCTTGTCTTAAAAACAAATAATGACAGTATTTTCAATAAAATATTAAAAAACAAGTTTTCCGGAAAGTATGGCCTGAAATCAGTGCTCAGATAATTCGAATTCGATGTCTGAATGCGTATGTGATTCGAGCTCGGAATCCGTGGGTTATGTCGAGCATTTAAACGACTTCGCATATGACGATGAACCGCTCGCAGGAGATGGTGATAAAGTGCATACTCCAGATGATCCCGATGGAATTCTTCCTGCGACATTAGAACAACGAAGTGATGGCGTAATTCCACTCGGTGAATGGTAAGTTGTTCTTTTCTCCTGTTTGTAATATACATAAAGTTACTTTATAAACCACAATGCTCTCACGTTTCAGGTGTAATTGTCAATGCTGTCATACCGATTTGTTAGAAGACGCATTAGAGTACAGATGCTGTAAGGAAATAGGACCAGCTTTGCAGAAAATGACATTCGATGGCAGCATTGAGAAAATATCATGCATAACACAGCATGCCAAATTTGGGCCTTTAGTTCATGAGGCTGTCCTTGAAAACGTTGGGCCACTATTGAGAGATAGGATTGGACGTGCTTATCGCCGCCAAGCATCACAATCATTAAATATGTAAGATTGTAAATTGTATGAGAAACAATGTTATCATCAACATTGTTTCATCAACAATAATTAGTCCAACCTTTTTATTTACTTCAGGTATTTGAGAGCTGTGGCATACAGATGGTTGATGCGATGGTTTTGTGGGTCTATGGGATGGGAGAATACTTGGCCTTTACCTGCTTGTGTTTACCACATAAAGTTCTTTTCAACACATTTACCACAATTTTGCTCTACAATGGCCATCGGACCAATGTTTTTAATGTGTACTTTTGGATTTTCAGCCTTGCAGTTAAAGCAAAATTTTTCAAATAACTCAACCAATGAGATGTAAAATACCATGAACATAGGTTGTTCATGCGAGCTTGCTCCTTCATCAATTCTGTAACACGATTAAGAAAATTCATTATTATGAAATACAACAGAGATCTAATTCTTTATAAGATAAAATACCTGACTGTATTACTTGTGGTATCTTCATCTAAATCTTCACTCTGACTAGACTCTTCAAAAGAGGAGTAGTCCATGTATGATTCTCCTTCGAAAAGCTCTTCAGCACTCCCCTGCATTCCATCGTGTATATTAATGCTGGTCACCACGGATGTATTACGATTTTCCCTGATTTCGCTTCGATATTCATTTTGCAACTTCTGGGCCTTTTTCTTCAAAGACGCTTTTGTCTTTTTATACCAGCTTAAAGTCTTTTGTAAAGATGTAAGTTTTTTCTTAAGACGATGGCACGATTTACATGGAGACTGGGATTCACAAATATCTTCACCAACTGCATGTAGTTCTTCTTCAAATGGCGAATCGTTTGCTTCCCCAGTGCATACTTCAACATGCTCAGCTCCATCACTAGTAGATGGTACTTCCTCATCGAGACAACATGTTTCCTTCAACGATGGCTTATGGAGAGTATGTCGAATAATCTGCAAAACTTATATCGAATTTACATATGACAAAAGAAAAATTTACATACACAAGCGTAAACTTACTTGTCTTCGCTTTCGATCGGTTATTTCGTCCTGTAATGGTTCAGGAATCCCAGCCACGTCAATGGTTGGGATAGCATCTTTCTTCAACCTTCTTTTGAGCTTGACTTGCACGCTCAAATTAAGGTCAAAACAAGAATCTTCAAACGCGCAGAACACAGACACGAGGTAGAGGAAGCCTCAAAACCCGGTCTATGTTTACGCACAAAATTTACCCATTTTCTATGTCTTTGCGGCTCTGTTTCTTTTTTAGGAAACAGATGCATCGACATTCCTTCGGTTTTTGAATCATTGGCGCAACTAATTTGATTAGGTCCGCCGGCACAACACAGCGTTTTCCTCCGCGTTTCTTATTAAGATTACTAGTACAATACGCCATGTTGATATATCTGTTCAACTTTCTACGTCACAAGTCATTAGCATACCGATCAAAAAGTTCGCAAAAAAAATGCTGAAAATCGTGACTTTGAACGTCCGTAAAATCACTTTCACCAATCCAATTTCAATTATAATTGCAGATTTGAAATCACTGAAACAAGGTCTTTCAATTTAGCTAATAAAAAAAGGGGGGCTAAAATTCGTAATATAAACACTTTAATCCATGTGAGCGATATACTTCATTTTATATGGTAGCGGATCTAGGGGTAGTCACAGTGAGAAGCAGTGGCGTCAGGCGTCACTGTATGGCGTCAGGAAGAAGAAGACAATTTAAACTAATACGGATCACCAGTTGAACAACCTGATCATGAAGAACAGGCTGTAGTGCAAACTGCTACAAACCAACTCGACCCACGTACAAGCCTTTGTACATCGATCAAGAAACGAGCTCAAGGATTGTTTTCTAGGTAATCAAATATGAATACATCTTTATTAAATTCAATCCTTGTTATTTCTTTTGTATTTTTTGGCAGACTGCGCTTTTCCATCGATTTACCAGACTTAGCAGTCGAAATACAGGGGCAGATCTAGGCTTTTCAAACATTAGTCATAAAACGTCGGAGACGCTCCGCACCTGGGGGGGTCCGAAGCATTCTCCCCTGAGAAATTTTGAATTTCAGAGCCTTGGAAATGCATTTTTCAGCGTTTTAGAGCAAAACAAAATGTATTTTGTGGGCATCGTTTTTGCGTAAAAACAACACATTTTGCTTACGTTTTTTTCAAAAAAAAAATGAAGTGAACAATACTTGAATGTTTTGCCAAATATTTAGGCTCATTATCATGCCAAATATATGGCTCATTAGCATGTCTAGGAACATAAAATTTGTTTTACAATAATGCTATTCCAAAAAAGATATTGTCTTTAAAAATTTCTACCAAGTTGTCTGGCATAGACCCCCCTAGAGATCCCAATTCAAACCTATATGTAATAAGTGAAGTTAGAAATTTGGTACTACAAGGGACAGTTCTTAGATGTAGAAAAGCTCAGACTTCAAACCATGCAGGTATATTGTAACCCTTTACCCATCTCCACATACAGTGCCAGCTAATTCACCTTTTAAGAAAAAACTCAAAATTATATTCTGAGTTATCAATAGCCCTTTGGAATTTATGGCAAACAATATGGTATGAGCCGTAGATCAACACACCTTGACATCTCTACATGAGGTGCTCAGTTAGAAAAGGGGACAATATATGACATGGGACAACATTTCATGTATGTGAAATACTCAGATTTAATATCATTCCAGTCAAATTGTTAAAATAAAAAGCTTCATGGATCTGAAAAGACTCAAAATCACAGGTTATAGTAAACAGCTTCTCATGTAATCAATATTAGTTTTCTCAAATCTTAAACAATGTGTAGTATAACTGTCCAATGATTGAATGATCAATGATCATAAAGTGAAAAGCCCCAAACATTTGTTTATGATAAAGTAAATAATAGTATGGCACTTATGGCTACAGATTTTTTGTCCATTGAAATATATTTGCAGGACTGTAAGACTTTGCTGCCATATAACGGCCACGATTCCCCAAGCAGCAAAGAAATCATAGGTAAAAGTCCTTCGGCAACAACAATTTTGGAAGCATCAATCTGCTTACCATACGCCATATTGACATAAATCGCATCACATACTCGCATAAATTGACTATGATATTTAAAATTCATGCATACACTTTAGTTGTCCTTTACTTACGATTTTGGATGTAAATTTCTGCTGAGAAAACTCAAAACAATGTTGGCTTGCTTTTGAACATCAATGACTGAAATGTCGCTCGCGAGATCGTCTTTGCCAAGCATTTACAATTCATCCATAAATTTTTCACCCTCTTGCAAAAATCCACAGTTTGGACAGCAGCATTCATGTCAATAAATGAATTTGTAAATGATTTCCATAAATTCCATCTGATTGTAGTTTAGTTTCTATCATGCTTAAGCAAATTACTATGAAACGATCAAACATTCAATTCAGACAGTAAGCATGACTATGTTAGTTCAGTTGGCTATCAGTCGAAATCGGTCAAACCAATCACAGTAAGAGAAAAATTGAAACTAACCAATTACACGATAGCAATTGGACTCCCTTATAGGTCCGGCCACCCCGCTTATCGATCGACATTATTCCAGATCGTCCACTGATCTGGATGTTGACCAATGGAATGGCTTAAATAAGCATTCTTGAACTCCGTTTTCGGTCGAACCAGTCGAGCCATCCCGCTGATCAGTCAGCAAGTTAATATAATTCTAGATATGTTTTTATCTACTGATCTGTTTACTAAGGTGGTATTTGTATAAGTTTTCATACATAAAACAGAATTTTGACGATGAAATCCAAACGATTACAGAACGAAAATTTAATTATCAAAAAATTTGTAATCATTAAATTTGATAAATAATTTTTGAACTATAAACATATGTCGCGTGACTGATTTGACATACCCTAGATCCGTCCCTGTCGAAATAGACACATCGATGCATTGACAACCAAATGCCCACCATTTTAGGGTGCCACAAAAATGGCGGCCTGTGATTGGCTAAGCGCGCAAAGCATTACCGCAAGACTCATTCTTTAAACGTTTGACTTGAAATCATACGTACACAAAACTAAAATATACATCAATCAAAGTTGCATGCAAGACTAACAAATTATTCTTCATCACCTTCAAACTTCTCTCGCGAAGTTTACAGCTCCCCGGTGAACGTGGTATATGAAGAAAGACAACATCAACGAACTCCAGAAAAATTGAGCTATATAAGACAAAGAGTAAACAAGTTCAAAAAATAGGTACGCAATGCGTATACGTGGGTAGCCTATCGAGTAACTAAGTAATTGTTTAACCATTTCTGCATTTTTTGAACGCTTTAGCTTAGATTGCACGCCTCATAAATGCATAAATGCTCACAAGAATTACATCAAGGAAAGTAACGTCATTTAGATTTCTTGCGAATTTTAAAAGATTTTTTTCTACTTAAAACCATTTTTTGTACCGTTGTGTTTTAAAAACATTTTCTGACGTGTCTTAGATGTCGTTCAGAGGAACGTTGTTCCCCCTAACGATGAATACCATATTTGTTCGAAAAGTGCAGCGGTGCTAATTTAATTTTTCTCATCACGCTTGTTCGAGCAAATACGGTAACCACGACGTGCTTATGACATGTTATTCAACATGATTATATAGGGAATAAATTATTTTTTGAGCCAACGGGTCGTGTTTTTTGTTACTTTTTTCTAATCACGTTTTGAAAAGTCTATTTATTTCCAAAGATTTTGTGTTTATTGCAAGCAATATTTGATAGTAAACGTTTTGCTCAATGATTGCAAGTGATCGAAAGTATTTTCTACGTTTTGCATAATAACAGCGTATATTTTGCAATATTTTCTTCAAGTATCTCAAAGTTTAACATTTCTTAAAGATGCAGTCCACATTTTTTTAACGAATTCATATTACTTGACACTATTGTATAGTATAAACTTCGAAGACGGCTTTTCTTATTCCGGGTTTTAAAGATTCCGGCTTTTCTCATTCCGGATTTTACAGATTCTAGCTTTCCTCATTCCGGGTTTTACAGATTCCGGCTTTTCTCATTCCGGATTTTACAGATTCCGGCTTTTCTCATTCCGGATTTTACAGATTCCGGCTTTTCTCATTCCGGATTTTACAGATTCCGGCTTTTCCCATTCCTTCATTCCATTCCCCGATTCCACATTCCTTGTTTTACAGATAGTCCTTCTCAGATCACAAATATGTGCGCTTGTAATTCATTGTCATATTGACCTTACGCACAGTACAATTTCACGGTAAACTTTCGATCACAAAGCAAAGAAACTAGCAAGCTTAATAACTTAATGACGAATTCCCTTAAAAGAAATTTAAGACACAAAGTTTAGGTTTCCCTCACCCAAAATTCGCTCTGAGTCAATCGACAGAACGAAACGAAAAATTGTTAGGAAAACAACATTGCGATATTCCTGACAAAGTAACGAACACACTAAACGGCCCTCTTCGTCATAGCTCGTACGTCCGACTATCTCCGAGGATAACGACAGACAAACTGACAAACCGACCGACGGACACTTTTTCACTGTAGCATAGTGGATAGCCGCGCATGCGCAGCGGCTACCAAAAAACAAAAAAGCAACAATCGTATCAGTAATGATCATTGAGTTCTATAATAACTGGAGGGGAAACGTCAACAAAATTAGTATAAATTATTAGCGCGCGGCCGCGTGGTCAAAAACATGGCGGATTTTGGTGGTCAAAGTCAGCGGAGAGACGCGGGCTCATGAAATAAAATCTTTGTCGCCCACCCTGATTTGACCACAACAATTGCGAGTATAGAAAATATCAAAACTTTTTATTTTCCTAACATAAACACTTTTTTAAAATTTATTTATTAAATTGCCAACTTCTGTGGTTTGCGGACGCTGAAATAGCGACAGAAGAAAAGGAAACATTTCATGACTCCGGTAAGTAGCACAGTATTAGTTTTACTATTTTGTTTTTAACACGATACTTGAAGAGTGTTTCTACTACTAAGTTTTAATTTAAAGTTATTTTGGTCCAGTCTTGTTTGTTCTTCACTTAATCGCTCGCCAGATGTGTCGAAGCTGTCAATTTTTATCGAGTTTTGCATCCATCTTGTATCATGATCAAGGCATCAAGCTAAACTCTCCTGATTTGAATTGAGTTTACCTCCCAAAAATGGGGCATAATTTGTTCATGTTTTTTTTGAAAAGATGAAGGGAAAGTTTACAACAGAGTTGTGTTGAAATTGAATGAAGTGCCATGCAAAATTAATGAGATCTATGGTATATGTTGTATAATAAAAATAACTATTAAACTGTTTGCATGCTCAATTTGACTGACTGTATAGTGTAGACAATTATAATGGGATTGGAAAGTTGGATTTATGCAAACAATTTTAAAGTACTACTTAGCGTTTCTGTAAATGAAATATTTATTGTTATAGTAAACAGGTTACTACTTCAAAACCAAGATAAAAGTAGTGTGTTGAACAATGTGCTAAGATTTGTTTCTTCTTTGAAATTTTTGTTCAACAGTAGCTTATGATTATATCATGAATATGCATGAAAAATTAAACATATTATTGTCTCATCTCATCAAATCCATACTTGGTATGATTCCAGATGATCCACAAATTCACATCGGATGCATTGGTTACAATGAAGTTGAATGTAGAAGAAGCAAAAATAGATGGCAAAGAAATTCTGTGTCTTATGAAGAATTAGTAGAAATCAATAAAAAGAACTCTTTAAACAAATTGTAAACAAATTTAAATTTGCTCATGGTCAAGCAACCTAGTCAAAGAAGCAAAGTCTGTCTTCAACATGTGACCTTTCCAATTATTTAGTTTCTTTGTACAAAATACTATTTTCGAGAAACTTGATTTGTAAGTCTTTCATTAATATTTTTTTACCAAGAGATAAAAGGAACTAATTCGAAGGCTTGATGTAAAATACAAAGATTTAACAAGTTGTTTATCATTTAATTCCCAAATGTTAGTTTGTACATATAAATAATTAGTATTGGTAGCTGTAAGTTGTTTAAGCAAAACAGAAGAGTAGTACTGCTCGAATGGGTTAGCATTTTTGAAAAATTATATCTTGTTCATGACATATATTACACAATTCCAAAAAACTGTAAGTGATGCACAATAATATCTATAGAACTTGATAAATTTCTTCACCTACACTGTCAAATAACTATTTTGCCTTCATGCAGCAATAGACAGTGTTTTTGTCAGAGAAACCAATGCACTTTAGTTTCCAAGTTTGTAATTTCAATGGAAAATTAATGTAGTTCTGTTCAGTAATAGATCTAAGATTCTGCCAAGCTGTTTACAAAATACAAATTACCAAGCAACAGTGTCATGGTGTTTTGAATTTTTTTCTTTTTTGTAGCTCTTCTAGTTCAACATACTTTCTTTATGAGTTTTCAGTAGATTTATCAGGTAATGACAATACACTTATGATACTTATCCATGGTAAACTTTCAGTTGACTTATGTCGTAGGACTGAAGCAAACATTTTCTCGCTTCCTTAGGAGCATTTTTACACAGATTTATCCATTTGAAGCAAGAAAAATAGGTGCACCAAACTGTTTACAAACAGTCAAACACACAAAAGCATGAAATAATGTATAAGTTTGACGAGATTGACAGGTCTAGTAAAGAATGCCGTTTGATTTTCACTTTTAAAAGGCTAAAATGTCATAAAATAACTTAAATGTTACATCCAAAATATGCGTTTCTCTACCGTCGATCTTCTTTATTTTGATGTGTGTCTGTACTGTGTTTTTCACGCAATGCTGAAGCATTTTCACATGATATGCTGTCGGTATCGTAATTGGTTTTTTTCTCACTTGTTTACGTTCATACAAACAGTATTAGAAATCAGGAGGGAGTGAATATTGAAAAAAATGTTTAAAGTGGAAGTTTTGACCACCAAAATCCGCCATTACCGCCATGTTTTTGACCACGGGGTCCAGGCCCCTTTGCCCCTCCAGGTTTTATAGAGCTCAATGGTAATGATTGACGGTAAAATTATCCATGTGTTCAATGTGTTAAGCAAATTATTATATTTTAGTGCAAATAAATCAGGGACGTGCTGGCCAGGGATAAGACAACGAGAACCGTTGTAATAATGGGCCCTTTCATGGGCGTAGGATGATTGAAAATAGAGGGGGTCATATTCATATATATGAATGTTGTAGTTTGTTGAAAACAATGGATTTTTACGGAATTTAACACTGCATATCATTCATAAATAAATAACTGCTTAACTACTGTAAGTCCCCCCACCCCCTTAATTATGGATCTTCCTATACCGATGGTTCCTTACAAGATGAATAAAAATTTTAAAAACTAAAACATATTAAATACATATCATTTATTACGGCAATTCCTGTAGAGGAGTTGCACACTAAGTATGTCAAGTTTGTTTTTGTTTTAATCTTGCAATCGGGACCCTTAAATGATGTTTACTTGTTCTCATTTTTGAAGTTCCAGCACGCCTCTGCAATAAATTCATTGTGTCAAAACAGCTCAAATGTACACAGTCAGTGGCGTAGCAAGAAAAAAAAACTGGTCGTGTATAGCGAGAACAAACATGAAGTTCCAGTACAGTTGGTGGCAACATAAGTTGTCTGTGCCGCCAGTTATGTAAGCTTCAATGTGCGACTTTGATATTTCATGCTTTTGGCAATCGCCCAGTAACTTATGCATGTTAACATAATCAATTTGAGTCAATTTAGCGGACTTTGAACGAAACAGTAAAGGCAACAAAATAACAGCTGTTTCTCCACAATAGCGCACAACCAATCTTTCCTTTCGCACCAAGATTGTCGGAACCCTTTATCCCTCGTTTTCAGTGTGAGCGTAAGGGTTGCTCGTGGCATACAAAGAAAATATTTTTACCAAACTAAGATCCCCTCCACACTAATGCGTTTTCGTTTGAAAACGCATACTTTTTGATGCGTTTTGGCATTCCGTCCACACTGAAACGTTAAAAAACGGATACACTGCAAAATGAAAGCGTATCGATTCGAAAACGCTTTCCAAAGTGGAGCGATTTGAAAACGCATGCGTTTTGTTTTAATGTGGACGGTCAAAAACGGAGCCTTTTGGAAACGATGACGTAAACGACGTCCTGAAATGGCGGAAATGTCACTTGATGTCACAACAACCGTGGGCGTTTTATGTTTAAGCATGCGCAGTTAAAATATATCACACATTCATCGTTTTCAAGTGTTTTAGTGTGGACAGCCGAAAACACTCTGAAAACGCTGGTGTGGATGCAATGAAAACGATGCGTTTTACTTCGATGAAAACGGAGCGTTTCAAAAACGCATTAGTGTGGACAGGGTCTAAGGCTGACTATACCCATTTTAACAGGCCGTGAGGTTTTCTAGCCAATCAGCGTTAAGGAATATATAATTCGGTCGTGCCGGCCTGAGTAGAGCACGACCAAAAACGGGCGAACGCCGTTCCATTTGCTTTTAGGCAATGATTAGGGCAGATGTCGGGCAGAAACGTAATAGTTTAAGTAATATGAAGTACATATTTGAAAATGCTAATGAGCATCAGAAATAAATTTAGTTTCCGCTAATATCTGTTAACATCAAAAACAAGTATTGAAATTTTAGTTGGTTAAAAAAACCTCAGTTTGGAAAATGTTTTGTCGTGCTCAGCACGACCTCTAGCTACGCCACTGTACACAGTTATACATCTACTTGCATTTACAACTGACATTTGAGTAAGACAAAAGGTTAAAACAAGGGACCCTTAATTCATAGATTTGTCTAGGATTTTTTTGCTATTATAAAACCAAAAGAAAGCAAAATAGTGTATCTTTGTAGCTTATAATTAGTCCTACACACTATGTTCCGGGAGATTTATGCCAATTGAAACTTTATGCTAATTCAAGAATATACAGGTAAAATTTTCTTTAGGAAATCCTATAAACAGTAGCTAGGCCATACCTTTTTGACTTCGACATTTCTGTAACTAACTTAAATTCCTTACACACAGCATCTACAGCTTCGTTCACTTTCTCTTCGCTAAGAGATAAGAAAGCATAAAAATACGCTACAGTTCAAAACAAAATTTAAGTATTCCTAGGTGGGAAAAGTGAAACTTTCGACTGGCTATAAGGGGTTTGACGTCACATAAAAGTAATCTCTTATTTTTTAATATTCAATTTTACATAGCTACTAGCTAATATTACAACTTTGATTTTGTGAGCAAAGTGTATTTGATTGCATGAATTGCATTAAGAATTAAACAACCCTTTCTCTTTTAACGGTTACGTTGCCGTATGGGAACCGCAAGAAAACCATTAAAAGTCAAAAGACCAAAAATCTCATGGGAAATGAAGAGAAACCAACGTATTTGAGGGCTGCACGAAACTAATGAAATTAAAATTTAATCTGAGCTTCATCCCTTAGTGGGATAGAAAAGTCGAACGGTCGATTGACGTGCTAAAATCTATCTTGTTTAAGGTAAATGTTTATGTCAAAATTCAAGTTAATACAAGACGATGTATGTAGATTTACTAGTCTTAAACCGCAACAACTTTGCCGTAGAAGAGTACTTGTAATTAACATGCGAAGATAGTTGAAGAATTGATGATGACGATGATTTTGGAAAACGTGTCAAATACCTAGCAAACTGCAAAATGAATCACCGGAGACGCTGGAAGAGTGAATATTTATCGACATTACAAGGAAGACACAAAACGATGTACGAGAAAAGCAAGTTTAGTCCTGTTGTGTTGTATACTTTTTATCCAGAAAATTGATGACATTAGTGAGAGATGTTACGAGAAATAACGAAAGCAGTATTTTTAAATAGAGCATTTACATCAACCCCATTTAAATTGAAAGAATCAACGAAAGTAGATAAAATAAAAAGCTTAGGGGTAGGAGCAGCTAGTAAGCAAATTAAGAAATTGCAAGAGACAAAGCGGACTGAAAAGTACGTATAAAACTTGCGTTTTCTACGTACAACTCCTTTCAGGTTTTGAATTGTTAATTGGCGTAAGAAACGACCATCAGAAATAAAGAAGTTCCAAAAACGGTTGTCCCACAGCTTCGCTTCGATTTTATCTTGCAAATCATTTTAAATGAACGCGGTGGCATCAGAAATAACGTGCAGAAGTTCTTGCAAAGACTAAATTCATCGTACTTTGAGATTTTCAAACAAATTACAAGAGCACATTTCAATTCTACTACGTCATCAGTGATGTCATTACAGAGTCACATTAGAGTCACACACATGCATCAGTGATCAGTGCTAGCAAACTTGCTGATCAGGAAAGAATAAATAACGAGTTGGATTTATACCTACGTACATAGTAAACAGCTGCAGGGCTTTGAAATTTCACGTGACTCCGTAGTGACGTCGCTGGTGACGTAGTAGGATTCTAGAATCAAACGAGACTTATCTGGGAATTAAAATTTGATTGGGATTCCACTAGTCATCAGTCGAAAACGAAGGAGTAACATGCCCACACATATTTTTGAACCATACTCCGCCTGTGACTCCGCGTTCTTCTGTTTATGCAATTGTTCACGTGAAAAATTGATCTAAGAAGCACGTGTACGCTTCTCATGTAACTCCTCGTTTTTTAATGCTGAGTACGTAGTAGAATCCCGATCAAACATCAACTTAATTGTAAGTCCCGTGAATTATCACAATAAAACTATCAACGAAAGGAAAAAACAAACCTATCAAACGAAGTCAGACATATAATTCTTCCTTTTCCATTGAAGTCATTTACGATTCGTTTTTTCTGTCCAGGACAAACAAAGAATGTTTGGACAGCATCTATCAAACCGTGTGTGATTGAAGCGTCATTCTCAGATTCTGTCTTGTTCTTGAGATTCAAAGCAGCAAGAGGCTTGAGAAGCTATTCAAAGCAATTCAATACAAGTTTTAGTTTTCTACTTGTGGTCAATGGATATTCGCTTGATTGCACCAAATGCTAAAGTCTTCAACTTACAATGTAGGCAATGGATATAACAATTAAGAAATGAATGTAATGAATATAATAAGACTGTCTCAAGTTTCAACTTAATTTAACGTAATCGGGAAGTATCTTTTAAGCTTTCACCTTTTCGAAACACCATAGCAAGATATAGACTTTAATATTATAGCCAATGCTAGCATGATTACTTTCAACTGCTAACAATACCACGCACTTGGACAACGAATATGTAGAGAATGAAATACAACGAACTTCTTCCAATAAGCACCGAATCACAATCCAAAAACGATTTTTTTTTCTTTTTCATAACTTTGATTGTATGATTAGATTATATACCGAAGATACATCAACTGAACTTAGCTTTAGTGATTATGCAAAGGAATTAACATCAGCTAGCAACGTAGATATACATGCACATGCACTTTCTATTAGAATTTGTTTTTGCTTTCGTTGTGATCCTCTCAGAAGAAAAATACAAAGAGTCGTTTAATACAAAAAGGAGTAGTTGTTTCAGATTCAATCAAACTACTTGAGTTCTTACTGTAAGACATGGTGTGTACGAACTTTCATATTGTAAAATTGGTCGCTTAACCGAGTGGGTCGTCAATTAGCTACAACTTCGCTCTAACAAATATCTCGAATCAACGGTTGATTCCTTCGTATCGACCAAGGAGATGACAAGAAAGATAAAAATGGCGAAATTTCGTCGAAGGATCGGCATATTCAAATAAGGTTCAATGTTACAACAATTTCGGCATAAAAACTTTGGAATTCAGCCACAATATAACAAGTATAGAAAGGAGAAGATATAGCACCTGAGAAATACACTGTTCCTTTTCACCCCATGAATTTATTGAATAAGCCTTTGTATCTGATACAATTAGCTTAACCTAAAAAAACAAGCAAAGATAAGTTGGTTCGTTGGTTAGCTAAATGGTAAAAAATTCATGATTAAAGAACTGTAAAAATGTGCTTCAAAACTTACAGGTGAAAATAAAAAGTCAGAAGAAGTGACAAATAACGATAATACAACATGTTAGCTGCAAAACAATGAAAATTGCAAAACTAATGGAGGCAGAATTAAAGTTTTTCTCAACAATCTAAATTTCTGTTTTTCTTATGAGCCTGCACCATTGTTCGATCTTTACAAATACGATTTTTCGAAAGGCTTTTGTTTTCATTTTGAACAATCTTTGATTTTTGAAATCTAAAAACGGACCGTCAAAAGCTCTTCGCCACGCGTATGTCATGAAAGATGCAAACGAGAAACTTTACAACAATCGTTTAAAAAATTTTAATTTACGAAATAGTGGGCATGATTAATTTAATTATAGACGCAGATCTTCTGAAAGTAAACATTAAATACTTTTATTTAAATATGCAGTAAAAAATACCCATATAAACGTATTTTTATACAACTTATGGCCATTCATAAAAGCGTTCAAAAAGTGTTCACGCATGTACTAGCTGATATAAATACTAAAAACAGCATGCGTATAAAAAAAGTAAATTCATTTTTTACGTGCGGTCACTTGAACAATATTTCATGACTTTGAGAAATTCTTGCACTTTTGTACACATTGGCATAAGCGTTTGTCATTTGTTATGTTTGGTTCTGATAAAAACGGTCAGTGAAAATTTAAAATTCCCCCATATATTCAAATTCTGTACAAATTAGAAAAGGAGATCTTAATTTGTATGCCTCAACCAAATCACTAAATACTATGCTGATTAGCGTTAAAAAAACATATGTTACATACAAATTAAGACCTCACTTCAAATATAAGCACACGTAACTTCACTTTTTCTTGCTATATACAATAATGCGTGCATCTTAGTGCCAACAATTTTTGGAAGAAATCGGAAAACAGAATTTAAATCAACATGTTTCAAATTATGTTGTTTTTAAATCGGATAACGAAATTCGAAGTTTGTTTTCCATTTATTTTTCAACCCTCCCACGGTTTTTCAAAGTCAATTTTTGTTTTTGAAGGTGTAATCTCAAGAACAGAATTTTGTTTTTGAAGGTGTAATCTCAAGAACAGAATTTGATGCTCTATTTTCGTTTTCTGTTTTCCAGTTTCATAGGATAATTGAAATCGAAAGTCAAAAGCTGATTTTTGTTTTCATAGCAAAAACTTCCACTTTTAAATTTCCTGCACTGAAATCCATGATTAATAAATAAAATGACGTTAAGGTAAGGTATGGACAATTTCTCGAAAGTTAATTTCTTTTTAGTCTATGAAGAAGTGAGTAATCGACTAGAAAGAAAAATAAAGTGATCTCAGATACCTCAGAAAGATTATGCACGATATTTCATTGTTTATAAAACCAATAATCACAAGGGGGCGTGTCAGTCCGTATGAGGCCTGTTTCAAACGTCAAATCTTGCATGTGTCGAATACAATTAGCAATTTAATTCGACCGAAATGCAAAATTTGACTGTGCATTTCAAACGTCGAATTTTGCATGCGTCGAATGCAATTATTACACGACGTCTTCCCTTAATATCGTTCCAGACTTTGTTGTGAGTAAAACGCATTGATATGTATATTACATGGATCGTGCATAATCTATATTAAAGAACCACGATAGCAATTAATTTTGGAGCGCATTGCAATTATACACGCTAAAAAATCTTTTAACATGAAACTAGAAGCATTCTCTTGGATAATATCTCTCAAATAGTGTCAGGAAAATTTTGGAAAAAAATCCTTTCTCAATAGTACAATTGCTTCCTGCACTTAATCTTGTTAAAGCTAATACGACGAGTTTTTTTAAAATAGGCATGTTTCGACATCTCATGATGCCATCTTCAGTATAAGTGAAATAATAAATAATACAAGGTTTATATTAAAGTAATATGATACATAAATTAGAACAATAATAAGAAAATAAGATAAATTAATGGGGAGATTCCGAGCGTATTATAAACTAAATATTGTATTGACTTTAAAACTTGAGCATTGAGGTCAGGGTTAGTTTTCTTAATGTGGAGTGCTTCTTTGATTTTAAGGGAGAATGAGGTTTCGGCAGTGTCGATGATTTTGAAGCAAGAGGGTGAATAGTTGGTTTCACATGAGTGAGATTTAAGAAGGTGTCGGTAGATATGAGAGTCTTTGTCTGTTGTGGTATGTTCCCTGATTCTGGTGGATAAATGGCGCAAAGTTTCGCCAATGTATCGGGAATTACATCCCGCGCAATTGAATTCATATACAACCGTTGATTTAATTGAATCAAGGATTGGGTCTTTGAATGAGAAAAGGTTTTTGATTTTGAATGATGTGAAAACTAGCCGAATGTCAATATCTGTACAGAAGCGTTTCATAATGTTTTTAAGTTTGTACTGTGTGTGTCGTAATGTCTGATGTATGGTAGTTTGAAGTAAAGAGTTGTTATTTTGGAATTTTCATTTGCGTTGGTCGTGATCGTCGTGTCAGGAGTTTCAGTGTCTAGTTTGAGGTTGTTGCTTTGTTTGTTGTCGAGATATCGTTTTACTGTTCTGTCAATAAAGTGTAGTGGGAATTTTTTCCGATGTGTGGTAATTGTCTTTTGTAGGTATTTGGTTATGTTTTCTTCCAGAGCTTTGTTTAAAAAAGAAAAAACTAAGTAATCTCACGAGGAACAGAACTCTACCATTCACACACAACGAGACGATAACCAATCTATCATCACACCAATTAAAAGACGAAGAACTAGAACTCCTGAAAAACGGCCTTGGGTTCAGCATTAAACCACTACGACTCAACCCAACATTCTGGCAACATTCGAAAAAATTCATCAAACTATAAAATACAACATTCGCAATCAAGAAGACTACACGCACCTCAAAACAGAAATGGCACACATCGCTCACTCGTACATCTCATCTATCACCCGACACCAGCTGACTTCAAAAAACATCACATCCTTAAAAACATTCGCAACAATCCAAACATTATCATTCTCAAACCGGACAAAGGCAACGGCGTTGTAATCATGGATCGTCAAATGTATCGTAACTTCTGCCTTAAAATCATTAACAATACAGCAAAGTTTACCCCACTCAAAGAAGACGTCACACTATCACGTGAAGCCAAACTGCAACGACTGTTAAGGAAGCTTCTAAAGACGCGATTAACAACAAAGTTTACAATGAAACCTCTGGGGAAACCCAGAGGCTCTCAACCCTCACATTTCTATGGCTTACCGCAACTCCACAAGAAACGAGCACCAGAACAATCGCCTCCACTATGACCGATAGTTTCATCAATTAACGCATACAAATATAATTTAGCTAAGTATCTTAGCTCTCTACTAACACCACTCATACCAGATGACCACTCCACTAAAGATTCTTTCACTTTCCTCGACGACTTCTCATCTTTCAGCTCATCAACTTCTTGTCACAAATTCTTCATCTCCTACGACGTTGAAAGCCTATTTACTAACATACCGCTTACTGAAACCATCAACCTAGCAATTGACGTAATATTCACTCACAAACCTAGGTTCAGCATAAACAGGACAGACCTCACACAACTGTTTTACTGTTTTTAATAGCAACAGCACAGACGCATTTTTTATTTAAAGGAAAATTTTATGACCAGACGAACGGTGTTACGATGGGCTCTCCCTTAGCACCCATACTTGCTAACATTTTCATGGGCTCACATGAACGAAACTGGCTAAACAATTACAACGACACTAAACCACAATTTTAGCGCTGATACGTTGACGACATTTTTTGTGTTTTTACTAACGAAACTGAGGCCATGAAGTTTTATAATTACATTAACACACAGCACGCAAACATTAGATTTTCATTTGAAACTGAACAACAAGATCAACTGCCATTTCTTGACATTTTACTAACAAAATCCCATGACAGCTGTACAACATCTACATATCACAAACCAACATACACAGGACTTCTGATGAACTATTTTAGTTTCACACCACTTTCATACAAAACCGGACTTATACGCACTCTAATCGACAGAGCATACAAACTTAACAATACGAACAATGGCTTTCAACGAGACATAAAAAAGAACACATCCACTCTTTTACGAAACTCTTTCCCACTACACTTTATTAAGAGAACCGTAAAACGATATCTCGACAAAAAACAAAGCAACAACCTCAAACTAGACATCGAAACTCCTGACACGACGATCACGACCAACACAAATAAAAATTCCAAAATAACAACTCTATACTTCAAACTAACATACATCGGACATTACTCACGACACACACAACGCAGACTTAAAAACATTATGAAACGCTTCTGTACAGATATTGACATTCCACTAACTTTCACATCATTCAAAATCAAAAACCTTTTCTCATTCAAAGACCCAATCCCTGATTCAATTAAATCTATGGTGGTATATGAATTCAATTGCGCGGGATGTAATTCCCGATACATTGGCAAAGCTTCGCGCCATTTATCCACAAGAATCAGGGAACATACCACAACAGACAAAAACTCTCATATCTACCGACACCTTCTTAAATCTCACTCATGTAAAACCAACTATTCAACCTCTTGCTTCAAAATCATCAACACTGCCGACACCTCATTCTCCCTTAAAATCAAAGAAGCACTCCACATTAAGAAAACTAACCCTGACCTCAATGTTCAAGTTTTTAAATCATTACAATATTTAGTTCATAATACGCTCGGACGCTCCCCATTAATGTATCTTATTTTCTTATTATTGTTGTAATTTATGTTTCATATTACTTTTATATAAACCTTGTATTAATTATTAATTCACTTATACTGAAGATGGCATCATGAGATGTCGAAACATCTCTATTATAAAAAACTTGTCGTATATATTAAATGCGCGTTGTGAAAAGTAATATCCGACGGAATTGAAAAATACGAGCCGGTCGATCGATGATTAAATTCGCCGGCTGAAATGAACGCACGCTGAAGTTAAAAGTCAACAGAATTTAGACATTTTTTCATGTATATTATTAATAAGTAATAGCATGGTTTGTAGTGCAACTTGGAAAACAAGCACTCGTGAGCTTTTCAAAAAGTTCAAATACTCGTCCTTCGGACTCGTGCAATTTTGATAGTCTTTGAAAAACTCACTCGTGCATGTTTTTCCCAAATTGCACTCGAAACCATGCTATTACCTATACAAACATTAATGGTAAAACGCGAGAGCTAAATTGTATTCGACACATGCAAAATTCAGCGTTTGAAACGACGTCGAACTTTCATCGTATAATGCGACCAAACCAGTCGAATTTAAGGATAAGGTCGACCTCAATAAAGCAGTCGAATTTAATTGTGGCTAAAGATTTTCCACGCGGAAAGCGAATTTTCAACATGAACATAATTGCCCAGGATAAGACTTTTAAAAAAGCCATCACAACAATAAAATAAGAGAAGGCTTTTTTAATAAATACGTTTCGTCTTTAACTTAAGACATCTTCAGATTAATTAAGTTGAATTTTATACATTAGTTTCTTTTGCTTGTACTTATGATCCATTGTTTAAGAAATAAAAGATGTTAACTGTGTTTGCACGAGCTTATGCAAACCAAGGAGACCTTTGGGAGAACTCGAGAGCAGATCAGTGCAAGCCCGAGACCGAAGGTCGAGGGTTGCACCGGCTCGAGAGTTCTCACAAACGTCTCCGAGGTTTGCATAAGCCAGTGCAACTATGAAAATCATCTTTTATTTCCTTTATAAAATAAAATAATGCGAAAAAGACAAATATTTTAATTTTTCCTCGAAAATGTATTGATGATCGATTTGCAAATTCTCTTTGACTGATTGATTGTTTTGATTGATTTGATTAGTTGAGCTCAGATGTGCTTAGCACAGGCTCTGTAATGCAAACACAGCTCTAGACCAATTAGCGCACGCGTTTCATTGTGTTTATTTTATAAATTATAATGGTGAGAAAGATGAAGTGGAAAAAATCAGTACAGACTGTATACCAATGAAAACTGAAAAAGTAAAAATTTTGCCAAACTTTTCAGGAAGAGATAATGCAGGCTTCATTTAGCCAAGATGCAGAGAATGAGATCATGGAGACAAATAGAAAAGTAATTGGTGTGTCGTTTGGAAGGAAAGAATAAGGACATTTTGTGGTCTAGTAAAAAAAATGAAGGAGAGTATAGACATAAAGAAATTAACAAAGAAGGCGAAAGCAAGAGGACTGAGGGGGATAAACATTAACTGGAGTAGAGGAAGATATACCATAAGAGGAGGATGTGATGGAAAGGATGCCAAGCAGATTAGAGGCCAACATCTGACGTTTCTGTAGAAATAGCTTATGAGTATCAGAAATTAGGATACTAAGTAAACCACAAAAATTTCACCAATAACAATTTCCATTATTTAATGACCAGATTTTCTAAATAATGGAATTTGTATTGAATAAAATGAAGAATTAATGCAGCAAGTTTTTTCGCTACAAATTTTAATTAGGTGAGACTAACTGCATTTTTCTGGCAGCATGCAAAAAAAAAAAACAACAAATTATAACAATGTTCAGGCATAATGTACATTTGGACATGCGAAAAGGTTAAAATAAAAATCTGTTGAGTTTTTTACTAACTTGTTTATTACATCCTAGAGATTTTAGAAGATGCCCAGGGAAAGAATAAGATGAGTTTTAGTCCGTAATAGTCTCTAGTTGTGCCTAGTTGTAGTAATTACAGAGGAATGAAGTTAACAAGTCACACAAGGAAGTTATGGGAAAGAGTAATGGAAACTAGAATATGGGCAAAAATGGGCATATGTGACTCATATGAGTAGCAACATGGCTTCCCACAAATTAGTTTCATACAGTAAATGGTTTGAACCCGGGAGTATCGTTACATGTTTGTAAATGTAGATCGTCCAGGTTGGTATAGTCCTGAGAAGGACTGCTTTTGTTGTTGTTCACTGACATTTCGACGGTTCTCAGTCCTTCTGTTGTTGACTGACGGTTGTCAAAACATCAGTCAAAAACAACAAAAAATGTGAGAAGGGGGTGTATGATGTCCTTGCTGATTGGAGAGGTGTCTCCTGACACAAGGTGTCAAAAGTCTAGAACAACAGAAATATGTTTTAGTAGTACAGTAGTAGTAGGCATAAAAGAGGAGTTTAAGGTTGACGTGGCATTGCATTAAGAATCACCTCTGCAATAATAGTGTTATGTAAAAACAATGGGGAGCAGGTAAAGGTTTACTCTAGAGAGATGGAAGTGTGCTTTATGGCTATCTATTCTATTTGCATCAGAGAACCGCATATTTTCTAGTCAATCTGAAAGTAAAGAGCATTCTGAAAAGTGTGGCTTCCTTAAGTGTGCTCTGAAGTTCTTTTGTAGACACACGCATTCAGCAGTATAGTACATAAAATGAAAATAACAATGTTTTATTAAATTGGTTATTGGTTGTATATTGTCTATTCTGAGTAATTACTTACCAAATACTGAGACGGAAATAAGTCAAATATAACTCTGCTATACTCTACTGATGCTTCCACCATACACGTCCATACTGATTTGAAAATTGTTAAACCATGAGACTTTGATCCTCCTTTAGTCTTTGCACCGACACTGTCTATATCTACCAACACTCTGGAAGGACCCAATAACTTAGGGCGATGATCGAGAATAATGCTAGTTTTCTTGTAGAAAGTCATAATTACAAATTGTTGTAATTTCGTTCAAATCACTCAGTAAATCCCATTGAGAACGCGAAAACGAAGACTACAGAATTAAAAATTAATCAGAGACCTTCCACAATCCAAAGAATTATAACTAATTTTAGACGTTGTATACTTCATGTAGGACTGAGAATAGTACACGCACGATGGAAGTGATATTTTGTACCATATAAGTATAAATAAATTCCAAATATCGATCATTAATTTTTTGAAATGATTATTATGAAAGATAGCTTTGATGAGTTCAGTTTTCTATATTCTAATGTTTATTTAGAGGTTCATCCATTGGTTTCATCAAGGTTTCATCAGTGGTTTCATCACATAGATCATATGTGATTGATCATCTTGTATGAGCCCGCGTTCTTCTTTTGGTATTGTGAATTGTGATGCTTTTATTTGCCACGTGCGTCGTACTGTATGTCAAATAATATTTTTTGTATATCGTCGCTACAGCTTTTTATATTTTAGAAATTGAAAGCGTTAAATAATGTCCTTTCGTGGTGGGGGGAGGTCTCGTGGTAGTAGAGGTCGTGTTGGAGGCAGAGGTAGAGGTCGTGGTGGCCGAATTCAAGACTTTGGACCTCCGGAACAAGTTGTTGGTAATATTAACTTAAGATTTGTGCTTATTTTTGCCGTAGTAAAATCAAATAAATACAGATGAGGCTAGCAAATAAAGTAAGAATTTCAAAATAAACCTTTTAAATTGTGAAATTATTGCATTAAAGTAATACAAGTAATAACAGTTTTGATGAAATATAAAATGAAGTAAAAAAGGACATTGGCTTCTTCTCTAATTTAGCAATTGGTGCTTTTCATGTGTGCAGTGCTGGTGAACTTCTGGTGAAGTTGTTATAGATTTGAAATATTTTGTTTTTGTTGTAGAATGTTTTCCTTTATTTGAAACACTAGTAGTCCTCAGTGAAGGTCAAACTGCACAGAGAAAGGCTACAAAATCAAGATTATTTTTTCGCACATCCTTAGCTGGCAATAAGGACTTTTTTATGTATGAATGAGTGAATTTTTCCTTCATAGAACTTGGTGAATTTTTCCATTCCTGCGAAGAAGATTTGGTGTGCAAGTGTTCAAATGAAAAAGTTCCATTCTTTAATGCCCCTGTGTTCCTTGACGATAAATCACAAATTGGTAAAGTGGATGATATCTTTGGACCTATTAACAGTTTTGTATCCTTGGCAATTATAAAGATTTTATGTTTTGTGTGTGGTAGAATGACATATTTATTCTTAGCTGTGGTAATAGCATGGATGAAAATTGGTTTTTGGATATTGAAATGATCAATTGATGAATTTCACGATGTTTGGTTGTGTAATGTTGATTTCAGATTATTGGCAATTTAGCATTGTTTATTCAGTCAGAGGTATATTGTCATAAGTATCAAGGACAGGGAAAAAACTTCTTTTGATGCATGGTTAAACTGATTTTCAGAACATTTGCAATATTAAAGTAAAACTGTTTGCATGCTATTGCCATTGAAATTCCATATTGTCGAAATTCTGTATACTTTACAACATGAGGGTTTTGTCCTTTTTACCTTCCTTTCAGTTAGGGCATTGTAGTCACCTACTTCTTGGATCAAAAATCCATGAAGATAAAACTTTCGACATATGAAATATCTTGCAAGTGTTCTTAAAATTGATTTAACTATCTAAAGAAGTTATTTTTCTAATCTGACCCCGATGTGGTTTGTTTAATGTTACTTAATGATCTCTGAAAAGCTGCTGAAAAAGTAATGACAGCTACAAAAACGATGAAAATTGCTTGTGTATTTGTTTAATGCTGGTTTGCTTTTCAAATTGCCATTTCATGCTCTCAGACAATCTTCTTTTGTTTGATGCAAACAGACGCAAATTTTAATAACTTGTAATTTATCGAAACGTATGTCAATGTGTGATAATCAGTTGATGATAATGTTACCGCTCAGAAGTAACTTAACACTGCAATCGCGTTCCATTTGCGTTCCTTTTGCAGAAGTAAGTTTACCGAAAACGCGTCCCGAACGCGTTCCAAAAAAATTAGGGAACACGTTCTGAACGCGTGCCCGACTGTTCAAATAAACTCGGTATGACATAGAGTCTATGTCATAGACAATTTCCGAAGATGAAGACTTGTATAGCGCGACTATAAATGATGATTATCGATCGATATCGGATGCGGCCAACAATGCGTTTTGATACGCGTTCCAGCTTTAGCCGAACACAATTGGAACGTAACTGGAACGCTTTTGGAACGAGTTCAGAACGCGCTCCGCTTATTGTAGAACTGGCAAAAAGTAAAAAGTAGCAATAAGTTTTTAAGAATGATCGATTGGGATTTGTAACTGTTTGAACAGCATTCTTAGAATGTACACTCTTGCAATCCCATTTGCTACAAAGTTTACCAGGCAAAAGAAGAACTTTAGCGATAAATATGTCAATGCACAAAGTCATTTTCATGAGCCATATGTTTGTACGTATCGACAAAATCAATGTCTACTTAATAAAATTTCTTGTGAGTGGTCTTGTTTTACCAGGCTGATCTTATTCTTCTAGTTTCATAAATTTATCCGATGCCATATCGTGATTTTTCCTTAATTCTTTCTGAAGTATTTTTCTGTCAAGCTTGGAGCTGGAATGAACGCTACCAGTTTTAATAAGAAGCAAAAAGTAAGCAAATCCCCTTAAGGAAATTTGTATTGTGTTCTTATTTCTGAAATCAAGCGGGTGAAATTTAGTACTGAAGACATTGCTCTACTATTTATGTTCTTGTAATGCTGCGTGCATGTTTTCAAGTTTAAATAAGACTGCTAACACGTAGCTATTCAAAGTTTGAATATTGTTTAATGCTTAAGTAAGTGGCACTGTGGCAGTTGATGTACGTCCAGTGAGGCCCTTTCAGAAATTTGCTGTTAGGCTACTAAGTAGTTTGTTCAACTATCGATATTCTTGGTAGGTTTATTTTAAAGTTTAGGTGGCTTTGTCATCTTGAAGTGATGTTATTATGTGAATCACATAACAGTTTAACCAGCCTGATTTGCAACTATTGGTCTTATTTTTTTAGTTTTTTATTGATCCTGCTAAACTTCTTCCTCTGTCAAGATTCTTGCCTAAACCACCCGGACAGAAAGGTTTGCTGAATGCGTACTTTTAAGAATAATACCTGCAAACGTTAATAAGTTTGCCCAATAAAAGAAAATGTTTGTGCACATAGGTCCTCGCGGTGGCGTTGGCTCCTTTGGTCGCGGAAGAGGTAAGCAAAGACTTAGTAGTGGTTACAAACTTAACCCTCTAGGCGCTGGACTTTTTCAAGAGTTTGTACACATTTCGTTTTGTGATTGTTGCCGCAATATGCTCTGATTAGCGTCTTATTCATGGTGTATGACAATTTATATAATAACCAGAAGAATTTTGAGAAATTTCATTGGTCGATAGCTTTGATCTATAAGAGGACAGACGCACAGAATTGACGTCACAGAAAATTTCTTGTTTTTAAATGACAAACGAAAATATTTACCTGAATTTATCCCTGAAAAGGGCAAATAAAGAAATTAAGAATGCTTTGAGTGGACGTATTTGAGCAAAAGAAAAGAAAAAACCCGGTTTTCAAACATTGTTTTTACTTCCTCTTCAATAACAAAATTTCAACAAAATTGATCAGCCATCGCTTAGTTTTTTTGTTAGCCAATCACATTTTATCACGTGATTAAGCTAGCCAATAGCATTTCTTTAATCTTATATGGCTCGTCGATTTAGTCTTTATTGCATATTTTATAAATATATTCAATATTTTACTATTTTTACATATGTTTTCACAGTAACCAATAGCATTTCCTCAATCCTATGTGGCGCGCCGATTTAGTCTTTATTACATATTTTATAAATATATTTAATATTTTACTATTTTTACATCTGTTTTCACAGTAACATAAATACATTCTAATGATTTTTATATCCATGCTTGCATTTCAAGTATATATGTCCTAGGGCCTGATTATATGGAGGCTAGCTGACCCGGATAGCGAGCTTGCCCGATGAATTCAAGGGCTCGAAAGGAGGCAAAACTTTAAGGTTAAAAATTATAACTGTTTGCGAAGCACCATACGTCACTCCTGTTGTAATTCTCAAATTAGGGCAAATTGGTTTTAATTTTTAATAATATACAATTCAGTTCTGATTGGTTAAGAGCAGTGCAATTTTTCCTAAATATCAGTGCAAAAATGCGAAACACCGGTGCAAAAAAGCGAAACACCAGTGCTGATTTCTCTTCAAAACTGCTCCTGATTGGTTAGTCAAACAAAGAAGTAGTATAAGAGGCAATCAAAATGAAACATTTCAAAGGCGGGAAAGTTACATTATTGTAAACAAAGCAATTACAATGGCTGGCGTAAGTTTTAAGTAGATTATCTTTGGCGAACGAGTGTGAACTTCATCGTTTTAAAGATGTTTCTGGATACAAATATGAACACTGCTAAAAGTAGATACCTTGTTCTAGCGGTGTGTGTGGTAGTTATGGTGCTGTGAAAAGTAATATCCGACGGAATTGAAGTATACAAGCTGGTCGATATTAAATAACTAGTTGGCTGAAATGTACGTACGCTGAAGTTAAAAATCAACAGAATTGACAAATCTTTTCACGTATATTATTAAGCCCTTAATAACCGAGCGCGAGGTCTTACGGAGAATTAACGGACTGAGGTCTTTTTGTACAGACCGAGCCCGTAGGGCGAGGTTTGTACAAAAAGACTGAGGTTTGATATTTCTCAGTAAAGACCGAGAAAGCGAGGCTATTAGACTTGAAACGAACTTGCTTTCTTTCTCGTTCTTGCTGTTTTTACGGGTTCGTTTGCACTTTTCTAGTTTTCGTCCATAAAAAATAAATCGTTTCAAATTGTATTGTCTGGATACTATAACTGTTTTCCAAGTGTTTTTCCTTCGAATCACATTCGTAACCGAGAAAGCGAGGTTATTAAAAGGATTATAATATGGCATTATATGACCTGAAACGAAGCTTGCTTTCTTTCTCGCATGTGCTCTTTTGTACGGGTTGGCTTTTACTTTTCTAGTTTTCGCCCATAAAAACAAATCGTTTCAAATTGTATCGTCTGGATAGTTAGACTGTTTTCCAAGTGTTTTTCCTTCGAATCACATTCGTAAATGGTTTTTTGTTTCGTTTATTTTGCGTTTTTTTCTGTTTGAATTACGAAGTTTGTTCACATTTGACAGTAAAAATACGCGTTTTTGGACCGTGGTCGATTACGGGAAAATAATGGACCGGCAAAAATGTTTCTCAGCCATTCAAAGCGCGCTATTTTGCCGGAAGTGACACTTGCCATAGAATAATAATATAAAATAGCATGGTTTCTCGTGCAATTTGGAAAACATGCACTCGTGAGTTTTTTAAAGACTTCGAACGAGTGCAATTTGAAGTCTTTGAGAAACTCACGAGTGCATGTTTTCCAAATTGCACGAGAAACCATCCTATTACATATACCAAATGTTTTGAGACGTTGTTAAATCAGAATATTGTGAAATTGCAAAACATTTAAAATTAAAACAACCAATTTGCCCTAATTTGAGAATTACAACCTGAATGACGTTTGGTACTTTGCAAACAGTTGTAATTTTTAACCTTGAAGTTTTGGCTTCTTTTAATCCCTTGAAATCATCGGGCTAGCTCGCTATCCGGGTCATCTCTCCATCTCTCCTCCTTATAATCAGGCCCTTAATTATAAGTTCAAATATGTCCTAATTATATGTTCTAACATGTCCTAATTATAAATTTAAATATGTTCTAATTATAAATTCAAATATGTTCTAATTATAAATTCAAATATGTCCTAATTAGAAATTCAAATATGTCCTAATAACAAATTCAAACATGTCCTAACTACAAATTTAACTATTTCAAAATATCAAATAATGTCGTAGAAGGAATAATCAATAGTCCGCCGATTTCTGTATCACGGAAGCATTTGAAACGAAGTTAAAATGTCGAGGGAAGATCTATCGAGTGCATGTCGCATTGCTGCTGAAGCATTGCAAGTTTTGAGTAATGTTAGTCCAAGTGGTATCCTAAATCGCTGACTTAGAGGAGGAATAGGCAAACCGTTTCCTAACTGTAAACTACAACAGGTCAAGAAAACGAAGCTCAACGTCATCGTCCATTTCCATTTGAAACAAAAATGGAATTAAATTACAACAACAAAATTTTGTTATTTACGAATTTCCATTCTACAGATCATGGTCTGCATTGACATTATAACAAGAAATTAGTAAAGTGCTACCAATTGGAAGAGAATATGAATTCATGAATGTACAATGAATTTAATACCAACAATGAACATTTAAAATTTCTAAACACTCCCTTGTCAAGTCCTCATTTTGAGGATCCTGAGACAATCTCTTGAATTTATTTCAATTCACCGCTCTTTGAATTTAGGCCACAGGGCTCTACAATATTTTTTCATGGAGGATTCCCATTATTTGGTAGAAATTGAAATGTATGTTATTTAGTAAAATTGAAACTAATGAAAACACAAAATTTTGACATGTCAAGTGGCTCAGCCATGAAAACAACTTTATGGCCTCTCAACTCAAATATTTTATAGCCGTCATTTAAACTTTAAAACTCCCTTATATTCTCTGGCAAATGGGAAATCATTCTTTTCTTTTGAAATACTGTGATTCAAATTTATGCTCTCCCTTTTGAAATTTTAGGGTTCCTTAGATTAGGTAGCATAAATAGAGCTGGCATTTTGAACGCTACTAATTTAGAGATCAACATGATAATCCTAACTTTGTACACATTTCTGAAATTTTGGCTTCATCATTGGCTCATTGCTCCAAACTGGTCTTATATGAGGGTGGGGCTCGTCTCCTTTGAATCCTTAAACCTCTTGCCCTCAGTGTGATACGGTTAGCGTGAAAAGCATTCAGAGACTGGCGCGACCGACCAGTCCAAGGACTACCTAGATCACAGGCCGACACCATTAAAGGACTGGGGGATGGTTGTGACTCTAATGTTTTTGTGAGTCACATCACTCCGAAACAACGTGCTGCAGTGGCAAGACTAGTGAGAAGGAAATGTTCACTTAGTTGTCAATTAAATGGTTTAAATGTGGAGGTACTGTGGGACACTGGAGCTCAAGTTTCTATCATTACCGACCATCTTCTAAAAAAACAGCTTTCTGACTTGGAGATACGACACATCAATGAGCTACTGGAAGTGGGGGCTGACCTGAAACTGACTGCTGCCAATGGGACATCCATTCTCTATGAAGGTTCGGTTGAGGCAAGGTTCCGACTACATGGCCCAGAAGAAAAAGAGGTTACCGTCCCTTTCCTAGTCACTCGAGAGCAACTTGAACAGCCGACCATTGGGTATAACGTCATCGAACTTAATACGAAAGACAGTGATAATCTAGCAAACAATCTGGCGATAGTGCATAGCGTCTCCAGAAGTTTTACAAATGTGTCAGAGGAAAACGCAAGGCAACTGATAAGTCTAATACAGACTAACAATCATGAATCTCTGTGAAGTGTAACAACCAAGCGTGACATTGTCATACTTAAAGGTAAATCCGTTGGGGTGCCGTGTTGAGTAAACAAAGAAAGTGTGACGAGGACCATGCCAGTCCTTTTTGAACCCTACGAACGAAGAGAATGGCTGCAGGGATTGACCGTTCAAGAAACATTGACGACTATAAAAAAGGGAAAATCTACTACCTTAGAGGTTCATATGCCTAACAACGCAAAGCACGACATAACGTTACCCAAAAAACGGTGTTAGGACGCCTCCAGTTGGTTCGCTCAGTGACTGCAATCGATGTAAAGTTGCGAGAATCAGAAGAGGGTGAAAAGCCAGATTAGACAACGAAACCAACGATAGCTGATCAGCTAAAAACATCAACTGGAGAAAACAACAAGAATGAGAAATGGAAGCAACGTGAAGTACCTGAGGTTGACATGCGGGGACTAGCCATAGAGCAACAATGTACAGCTCGGAAAATGTTGCATGAGGAAAGAGAGGCTTTCGGTACAAGTGAAGATGATATCGGGTGTATCCCGGACCTGAAGATGGAGATCAACCTGGTGGACAAGAGACCAGTGCAGAAAAACTACACGGCTATCCCACGTCCCTTGTACCCAGAAGTCGAGCATTACTTAGAAGATCTACTAAACAAGAACTTCATCCGAAAATCGAGGTCACCTTACTCAAGCAGTGTTGTTTGTGTGAGAAAAAAAGATGGG